CCAGTGTGCTGCAGGATGTGGCCTGGGGAGGCAGGCCTGGCTCTGTGAGTCAGGGCACAGCCAGCACCTGTCCCATGGCAGCAGGTGCACAAGGTGTCTTCGCTGAAGCAACCACCCATACCGTCTCGCCTAGGCTTAAACCAAGATCTTGAGACTCAGGTTTTTGCATTAAATATAAGTCAGGTGAGCTGTTCTTTGTTTTATAATTGGTTATTTCAAGGAATAATTTTAGTTTAGTTACTTTTTTTTACCAGCTGGGTAAAAAAGTATTTAGCTACAAAGGTGTCATTTAAAAATAAGGAAGTGATCATTTATTACTGCTACTCCACTGTTGCTCTTTGTGTGACTTATTTATAAATTTTAGAATGAAAAGCTGTAATTTCTGAGAGAGCAGTGATTCATCTGGCTAATTTGTTTCATTTGTTATGGAGGTAGCTTTACCACAGAGGCATTGCAGTTAGACTGACTGGTTTTTTACTTTGTTAGTAGACACAGTTTTTATCTAAGAGGACTCTGCACATATAAACTTTCATACATGGAATTAGGTTAAGATTTGATTTACAGGAAATGGGACACTCCAGTTCAGGGGTAGCTCTTTAATTATTTAAATGCTATATTTACTTAAAAAATTCTTTCCTAGACAATAAATTCCCCATTTTTGATGGGCGTGATGATTTATCTTGATGTAAGAGAACGTGTGTGCTCTCTCTGCCCCGCTCTGGAGTATTGCAGGGTGTGGCAAGGTAGGTTTACAGTTGTGGGTATGCAAAACAGAGTTTATTCTTGTATTATTATTATTTATGAATTATTGTATTATTTTCCACAGGAACAACTGTAAACCTCTTTTGCCCCACCCTATAGTGTTTGTATTATTGTCTCTTGCTTCCTGTAAACTCTAAACTTTCATTTGTCTGGATTTGTCTGTGTATCTCAAGTATCCACTATGCTTTCCTGCCTTATATGCTTTGTTCTCTCTGTTCTCATCTTCATCTGTTAAGAATTTTCCAATCCTTTGAAACCCAGTAGAGGTTTTATTTCTTCCAGTTGTGTCTGCTAATTTCATATTAGTCAGAAATAAAAGCTTCATTGTTTGCCCATTCAAAACATTTAGTGTGAGCCATATTTATAATATCTCCTTTATTTGATTTCAAGCTCTTTATGGAACTGTGTCTTATTAAATTTTCTATCTTGCATTAGCCTTATACTTAGTGCATACTGTATTAATATTTGTTTAATGGAACATTTTCCCTATTTGAAAATATTTAGCAGGTAGTTAGGCCTCTTGGTTGCAAGTAACAGAAAACAAATCTACCTAGTTTAAGAGGAAGAGTAAATTCACTGGATTCGTGCTAGTGTATTCTGAGGAATCCTAATATATAAAAACCCAGGATCTGTAACATCCAAAGTGACCAAAGGCTCGACCGACCAGAAGTCAGTCCTGCAGTCAGTGCTGGGTTGCCGTGGCGACCCAGCAATGATGGCTGCCAGTGCGGGCATGGCGACCCAGCACTGACTGCTGAGGGAGCTGTGGATCAGGCCCAAAGAGAGGCCTGGAGAGAGAAGCAGGGTCTGATCCGTAGCCTTCATGGCAGCTGTTGATCAGCCCTTGCCTCTCTCTTTCTCTCGGGGCCTGGCTAGCAGCCAACACCTCTCTTTCTCTCAGGCTTCTGCTGGGGCTGCTGATCAGCCCGCCTCTCTGATCAAGCCCATTGATAGGCCCGGAGATGCTGACTGGCATAGAAACCGACCAATCAGAACCAAATCTGGGTGAAATGCAAGGAGCCAATGGCTGCCTAGGAGGCGGAGCTTTTGATGCTGATTGGCATAGAAACTGGCCAATCAGAGCCTAATCTGGGTAAACTGCAAAGGCAGAACCTACGGTGGGGGCTGAGGAGGGGTTTTAAGGGCAACAGCTGTTTGGTGTAGGTGAAAGAAAGCGGTTCAATTTTTTAATAACCAGTTTGGCAGTATAGTGCATAGGGCTGGCTATCAGTCCAGATATAGGGATTATGTATTTTTGTCTGCCAAGAGCATCTCCTGATGAAAAAGGCTTCTCCCCCACCCCCATTTAAGCAATCCTATCCTATATAATCTGTCTATACTACTAAAAGGGTAATATGCTAATTAGACTGGGTCGACAGGCCATCTTCCAGATGTCTTACTTCCTTCCAGACAAAGCCATAATGGTGGGGGCCAAGGCAGAGACTGTTAGGGGCTATCAGCCGGCAGGGGAGGGAAGTTGGGGGTGAGATCAGGCCAGCAGGGAAGGGCAATTGGGGACAACCAGGCTGGCAGGGATGGGAAGTTGGGGGTGAGATCAGGCCAGCAGGGGAGGGCAGTTAGGGGTGATCAGGCAGGCAGGCAAAGCCAGTTAGGGTCGATCAAACAGACAGGCAGAGGGGTTAGGGGCAATCAGGCAGGCAGGCAGGTGAGCGGTTAGGAGCAGCAGCATCCCAGATTGCAAGGGGGATGTCCGACCACCTGTGGGATCGGTCCTAAACCGGCGGTTGGACATCTCCCATGGGGTCCCCGATTGGAGAGGGTGCAGGCTAGGCTGAGGGACACACTGCCCCCCCCCCCACACGAATTTCATGCACCGGGCCACCAGTCCTATATAATAAAAGCCTAATACGCTGTATGTCCAGTCATCCATTCAGCCAATCAAAGTATAATATGCTAATGATATGCTAAGGCCGCTCAACCGCTCGCCATGATGTGCACTGACCACAAGGGGGCAGTCGGCTGGTCGACCATTTGCAATGACGTGCACTGACCACCAGGGGGGCAGACTCTCCGACTGGTAGGTTAGCTTGCTGCTGGGGTCTGGCCAATCAGGACTGAGTGAGAAGGGCCAGACACACCCTGGAGACCTCCCACGGTCTCTTTCTGGCTGGCCAACCTCCCGCATCCCTCCCTGACCCCAATTGTGCACCGGTGGAGTCCCTTGGCCTGGCCTACGCCCTCTCCCAATCCAGAACCCCTCCGAGCCAGTTTTGGCCTGATCCCACAGTGGGAGCACCACTCAGCCAGAAGCCGGGCTCGCTGAGGCCCACCCACTAATCCTCCCCATTGTCCCTAACTCCTGTCCTAGGCTGAGGAGCCTGGGACAAGTGGAAGGGCCACTCTTCTTCCTTCCACTGGGGCTCGGTCCCATAGATAGAAGCTGGCTCAGGTAGGGTCGGTGGCAGCTGGGGACGGTCACAGCGTGAGTGTCCGGTGTCGGGATCGAGGAATGTAGCTGGGCCTGAGGCCAGGAATGTGAGGCTGTGGCCTATGGTCCTGAAGTTCTCCTAATGTAGGATTAGGGGGTTGGAAAGTGGGAAGGGCAGAGACAGGGAGTGTGGAGGGGCCCAGTGCTTAGAGTTTGTGGGGGTTTACCCACTTGTCAGTGCCCCTGTACAGGAAGCCCACTCTTATTCAGAAAAATGGCAACAGTGCTGAGGTTGTGAAAGGCTGTTCTAGGATGAAATGCAAAACTTTAGGGAATTAAATGAAAAGACATTTCAGAACAAAAAGATGAATTTAAATTTGGAGTTATCAAGTAATGTATAAAGTTTTTAGTGTCAAGGATCTTAATTTTCAAACAAAATTATTCTTTTGTTTATGGCTTATTGTTAATTTTTATTGAGAAGCTGTGTTATAGGGGAAACATATGACTTATTTATGGATTAGCAGCTGCCTACAGTAATTTAGGCATGTAACTGAGATTGTGAAAAGGGTAGAGGAACTAAGCTATTAATTTGAGGTTTTTTTACTTACTTTTTCTTCTTTTAAATGTTCCTAGTAACAGGTGACTACCCAAGCAGTTTTTTGAAAGAGATATGGGGATTGGTGATATCCTTTTTAGCTCTTAAAACGGATGTAACTATAAAATCCTCTAAAAGGCCAAATGCGATAAACCTTTTGTCTTATGTAGATTAGCAAATGGTGAAAATTCTAGTGCTACCCTCCACGCACCAATGCACATGCATACACATATACCCATACTACACTATGAAATTATACTGGCACAGAAGATCCATTTAACTAAATATACAATTTACATTTAGTAAATTTAAAATGTATAGGTATTAAATTAAAAGGGGCTACTAATATACTGAAAAATTAGTGTTGAAGGATGAATGGTTGCTGGCAGTGGAACAACATGGGACTGACTTGCAAAACCAAGTGATGGGAAAATAAAATTCATACCAGATTTAAGAATTTAAGTGGGCAAAGACGGAGAACATCACAGAAGAAAGTTTTGATTTCCCTCTCTAGTTCGGCTATGTGATGTGAGTTTCTATTTGTAATCCAGTTTGCAAAATATTATTTTGGTAGTTTAGAAATTTGAGTCGGGGGAAGAAGAAATATTTTAGGAAATGTTATGAAAAAGAGGCAGTGATTTAATATTCTTATATAGTTCCTGATGATATTAGCAATTTAAAACTAGTCTCTGGAAAATATTATATTGAATTTGTGCTGGAAAGTCTAGTTTTCATCTTTATCCTTGGAGACTCCTTTGGTAAATTAAGTAGTTTACACATGAAGAGGCAATTTTCTTTGGTTCATAAGAAATATTGAGTATTATTTACCTCACATTAAATTTCAAAATCCAAAAAAATTTATCTGTTTTCCAATAGGTGTTAGGTTGTAGTGACTTTCATCAGCCATTTAGGTTGGTGTTACTAGTTCAGTTTTCAAAACTGACTATCTGGCACATTTCTGTTAGTTTACTGAAGGAAGTTTGAATATCCGTACCTAATTTGGTGGATTCTATGAGAGAATATCTTGCTTACAGTTGGTTTAATCCCATCTTGACTTTGGTTATATGGCCTGATACTTTGGATTTCATGTCAAAATAGAAGTTTAAGCTACTGTATGTACAAAGTTTAAGATACTGTACATTTAAAGTTATTTACTAATTATAATTATAAGGGAATAGAATAATAGACATGTATAAATAAGTACTTGAATAAAGAATTCTTCAAATTTAATTGCATATTTCTTAATTTTTTCAGACAAGTTCTACAGAAATTTTGGAGTATTCATCAGATGGTGAAAGCAAAGATAACTCAGAGAATGGCTTTTTCATTGAGTCCGAATCCTCTCGCAAACACCCGGTGGAGTTTGGATCAGATGGAGGAAAAGTTATGGACAGACGGGTAATCCCAAGGGTGAAACCTACAGACAGCATTTTGTACACCCCCGAGAAACAGATGAAGTTGCCTAGGACTCCTGAAAAATCAGCAAATAAGAAGCAGCTTTCAAGGTGAAATTACACCTTTGAAAATGTTTTTTAAAGCTTTTCTCTTTCTTTAACAACCCACATATCTAAAATGGTAATTTAAAAATGCTTACCCGTTTACTTGGGACGGAAAACTGTGAGAATAGAATTGTAATTTCTGTAAGTAATTATGGAAGTCTGAAGTTCTTGAGATGATGTGTGGAATAGCTCACCCAAGTTGAGCATTCCATTTCAGTCCTAACCAGCTTAGGTGACTGCTTTCTTTCATGGAGCTTGGCTGTTTGGGTTTTCAAATTCTATTGAGCATCAGTGTTTCAGGTGATTTCTTAGACAATTAAGACAAGTAAATGCCCATTTTCAAGTAATTTATAGTCTAAAGAAGGAAATAGAAATACATATGTACTATTCAGATTACTTTAATGAGTATGGTTACGGATATAGGGAAACACGTGGAAATACAAAGATGCATGAGAGAGCAAAGACTCATGGACAGGAAACGGGCTGGTGTGCATGTCAGAGGTGTACCATTGAGGACATGTTCCAACACTGTGTAATCCATTGTCTCTTTGTGTTTTAAACTAGAACAAAACAATAAACTCAAAACCCCAATGAAAACAAGAAGGCAAGTTTGTGGAAAGCAGTGTTTCAAGGAAAAATGATTTCCAGTAGGAAGAATCAATGTAGCTATGAAGAGCACAGGTTTGGATCTGTTTAGGATATGTCTGCATCAAGACATGGCAAGAAGGGTGATGCACATTGAGACTCCAGTAATGTTTGTGGCCTAGTAGGAAAGAAGCCAGGGACTAGGGATCCAGGAGTGCCCAGAACTCAAGGAGTGGAGATAGTTTTGTGACTCCTCGGCTAGGAGGAGGGATTCAATGTAGGAAAGTGGGGAGATTACTGCTAGTGGCTTGAAAGGAATCCAGTGTCTAAAGAGATTTCAGAGAAAAGGAGAGACAGATTTAGACAGATGTTTAGGATAATTGCTCTGTCAGTGTTTAAGAAAAGAAGCAGGGGAGCAAGGCCTGGGGTGGAGAGGCCTGTCTTGAGCATAGGAGTGGAGGGAAGAGTATAAAGATATGACTGAGTCTGTTTGGATAGGTGAAGTATGTTGAGTCAGTTCATGCCTGTTTACTATATACTGTATATATCATTTTACTTATTTATTTGTTTATATTTAACATAAAATATGACAGAAGCCCTTATGCTCAGAGTTTGGAAGTTATAGCCTCAAAAGAGAATGGTGTTCATTTGTAGTAGTCTCTGGAGAGAACAGGAATAAGCCAATTAAAGAGATTCGAATGTCCTTGTTGAAATCAATTGTGTACAATTATAGCCAGTGATGTTCCCAATCCCATTAAGGCAGCGGTTCTCAACTTGTGGGTCACCAATCTGTGGGTCGTGACCCCTTTGGGGGTCGAACGACCCTTTCATAGGGGTTGCCTAAGGCCATCAGAAAACATACATAATTACATGTTTTTGTGATTAATCACTATGCTTTAATTATGTTCAATTTGTAACAATGAAAATACATCCTGCATATCAGATATTTACATTATGATTCATAACAGTTATGAACAAAATTAAAGTTATGAAGTAGCAACGAAAATAATTTTATGGTTGGAGGTCACCACAACATGAGGAACTGTATTAAAGGGTCGTGGCATTAGGAAGGTTGACAACCACTATAATTATATATGTGTTTTCCAATGGCCTTAGGCGACCCCTGTGAAAGGGTCTTTCGACCCCCAAAGGGGTCGTGACCCACAGGTTGGCGACCCACAGGTTGAGAACTGCTGCATTAAGGCCATACTATGTGGTGAAAATGGGCATCCCTGTCTTGTTCCTGTTCTTAGGGGAAATGGTTTTAATTTTTGTCCATTGAGTATGATGTTGGCTGTAGGTTTGTTATATATGGCCTTTATTATGTTGAGGTATCATCCCTCCATTCCCACTTTGCTGAAAGTTTTTATCAAAAAACGGTGTTGGATTTTGTCAAATGCTTTTTCTACATAAATTGATATGATCATGTGATTTTTGTCTTGCAATCTATAAATGTGCTGTATCACATTTATTGATTTGCGGATATTTTACCAGTCTTGCATCCACAGAATAAATCCCACTTGGTCATGGTGTATAATCTTTTTAATGTATTGCAGGATTCGATTTGCTAAAATTTTGTTGAGGATTTTAGCATTAATGTTTATCGGGGATATTGGCCTGTATTCTCTTTCTTTGCAGTGTCTTTATCTGGTTTTGGGATTAGGGTAATACTGGCCTCATATAAAGAGCTTGGAAGTGTTCCTTTCTCTTGAATTTTTTTAATAGTTTGAGGAGGATAGGTGGTAGGTAATTCTTTGAATGTTTGATAAAGCTCTCCTGTGAAGCCATCTGGATCAGGGCTTTTGTTTGCTAAAAGTTGTTGTGTGTTTTTTAAATTACTGCTTCAATTTCATCAGTAGTTATCAGCCTATTCAGGTTTTCTGATTCTTTCTGATTGAGTTTAGAAGATTGTATTTTTCTAGGAATTTGTCTGTTTCATCAAGGTTGTCCAGTTTGTTGGAATAGAATTGTTCATAGTATTTTTTTACGATCCTTTGTATTTCTGTGGGGTCAGTTGTTAACTTCAACTCTTTCTATTCTGGATTTTGTTTATTTGGGTCCTTTCTCTTTGTTTCTTGGTGAGTCTGGTTTGAGGTTCATCAATCTTGTTTATCCTTTTAAAGAACCAGCTCTTGGTTTTATTGATCTTTTGTATTTTTTTGGTCTCTATGTCACTTATTTCCACTCTGATCTTTATTATTTTCTTCCTTCCACTTACTATGGTCTTCTCTTTTTGCTCCCATTCTAATTCTTTAAGTTGTAGTGTAGATAAGTTATTACAACTTTTTCTTCTTTTTTGAAGTAGGCCTGTAGTACTATGAATTTCCCTCTCAGAATTGCTTTCACTGTGTCCCATAGATTTTTGGATTGTTTTGTTTTCATTGTCATTTGTTTCCATGAGGTTTTTTATTTATTCTTTGATCTCTTTGGTAACCCATTCATTGTTTAATAGCATACTATTTAGCTTCCATGTGTTTGATTGTTTTTGAATTTTTTTATTCAAAAAAATGATTTCTAACTTTATGCCATTGTGATCTGAGACGATGCTTGATATGATTTCAATCTTCTTGAATTTGTAGAGACTTAGGCTGTGTCCTAACATGTGGTCTGTCTTTGAAAATATCCCATATACACTTGAGAAGAATGTATATTCCGTAGCTTTGGGGTGAAGATGTCAATTAGTTCCATCTGATCTAGTGAGTCGTTTAGGATTGCTTTTACCTTGTTGATTTTTTTGTCTAGAGGATTTATCCAGTGATGTCAATGGGTATTAAAGTCCATTACTATGATTATATTGCTGTCGATCTCTCCGTTTATATCTTCCAGAAATTTTTTTATGTATTTGTATGCTCCTGTATTGGGTGAATATATGTTTAGAGGAGTTATATCCTCTTGTATCGATTCCTTTAGTATTATGAAGTGGCCTTCCTTATCTCTTGTTATTGTATTCACTTTGAGGTCTATTTTTTCAGATATAAGTATTGCTATCCCAACTTTTTTTTCCTCTCCATTTGCTTGACCAATTTCTTTCCATCCCTTCACTTTCAGTTTGTGTGAGTCCTTTGTTCTGAGATGGGTCTCTTATAGGCAGCATATAGATGGGTCATGTTTTCTTATCCATTCAGTTATCCTATATCTTTTGATTGGAGCATTTAAACCATTTACGTTTAAGGTTATTATTGATGGGTACTTTTTTGTTGCCATTTTTATTCTTTATGCCTGTGTTTCTCCCTCTCTTTCTATTCCTTCTTTTTACAAAAGCCACTTTAGGATTTCTTGTATTGCTGGTTTGGTGGTGATAAACTCCTTTTTTTTTTCTTTCTTTTTTTTTTTTTATCTTTGAAGCTCCTGATTTCACCTTCAATTTTGAATGATAGCCTTGTTGGATAGAGTAGTCTTGGATTCCGTCCCTTTTCATTACTTTGTATATGTCATGCCACTCTCTTCTGGCTGAATGTGTTTCTGTTGAGAAATCAGTTGATAGTCTAATACAGCGGTTCTCAACCTATGGGTCGCGATCCCTTTGGGGGTTGAACAACCCTTTCACAGGGATCGCCTAAATACATCCTGCATATCAGATATTTACATTACGATTCATAATAGTCGCAAAATTACAGTTATGAAGTAGCAATGAAAATAATTTTATGGTTGGGGGTCACCATAACATGAGGAACTGTATTAAAGAGTTGTGGCATTGGGAAGGTTGAGAATCACTGGTCTAATGGGAGATCCCTTGTAGGTAACTTTCTGTCTTCCTCTTGTAGCCTTTAAGATTCTTTGTCTTTAGCCTTTAAGATTCTTTGCTATTTTAATTATGATGTGCCTTGGTGTGAGTCTTTTTGGGTTCATCTTGTTTGGGATTCTCTGTGTTTCCTGGACTTGTGTGACTTTTTTCTTCCCCAAGTCAGGGAAGTTTTCTGTCATTATTTTTTTAAACAGGTTTTCTGGTCATTGCCCAGCTTCGTCTCCTTCTGGCACCCCTATTATGCAGATGTTGTTTCGTTTCATGTTGTCCCAAAGCTCCCTTATACTCTCCTCCTGCTTTTTAATTCTTTTCCCCAATTGCTGCTCTGATTGGGTGTTGTTTTTTTTACCCTGTCTTCTAACTCGCTGAACTGTTGAAACCCTCCCAGCTGTCCTTTATTACAGCTATGCCATTCTTCATTTCCTCTTGATTCTTATCTATGTTGGTGTATTTCTTATACAGCTGCTTATAATTCTCATTGAGTTGCTTGTAATTCTCAGCCAGATGTTTGAGCATTACTTTGAATTCTTTATCTGATAAATTACTTGCCTCCATTTTATTTAGTTCCTTGTCTTTCCTTTGGGAATTGTTTCTTTGTCTCCCCATTTTCGCTGTTCCTTTGTATTTGTTTCTATATCTTAGATCAAACTACTATGCCACCCAGATTTTCTTTTTT